AAAAAAAAAAAAAAAAGTATCAGGGAGAAATTAATCAGCCTCCAGAGGGAGTAACTTCATCCATTCAATCCCATTCTAGTGGCAATAATATCACAGAGGGTTTGTTCATCTACTTATTTTATAAATAAAAACTTCCTATAGGAACTAATTAGAAGGAAATATTTGCAACACATACAACAGAAAAAGGCTAATATATATCTCTTAGAGCCCAGTGAAATAAACCACCAATAGAAAAATGAGCACGTATGGCCCAACATTGCATGAAAAAATGTAATCAACTTTAGAAATTAATAAAAAAAAGGTATGTTATACGTATCAAAATGGGGGAAAAAAGAACAGTGTAACAGTGACAATGCAAAATGAAGAACCCTCTCTTGTGTTGTTGATGGGTTTGTGAGTTGCTATAAACACCCTACAGCCTAGAATCTAGGCCCTAGATACATTAATACAAGAGGTGATGATTAAGCTATAATTCATCCACGAAATGGACTAACATGTAATCATTAAAGATGCTGCAAAAGCAGAGGTACCAGCCTATTTCAGAGGTATTACAGGTTTGGTTTCAAACCACCACAATAAAGCTAATACTGCAATAAAGACAGTCAAATGAATTTTTTGGGTTTCCCAATGCATCATAAAGTTTATATTTATACTATACCATAATTTATTAAGTATGCAATAGCTTATATCTAAAACAATGTACATACCTTAATTTAAAAATACTTTATTGCTAAAAAATGCTAACCATCCGGCCACCTGGATGGCTCAGTGGGTTAAGCGCTCTCTCTCCTTCTCTCTAATAAAAAAAAATGCTAACCATCATCTGAGCTTTCAATGAGTCACTCTCTTTTTACTGGTGGAGGGTCTTGCCTCCACGCTGATGGCTACTGACTGATCAGGTTGCTGAAGGCTGCGATGACTGTGGCAGCTTATTCAAAGACAACAATGAAGTTTGCCTTCTCAATTGACTCTTCCTTTCATGACAATGTCTCTGCAGCACGTGATACTGTTTGACAGCATTTTACCCACAGCACAACTTTCAAAACTGGAGTCAATCCTCTACAGCCTTGCTACTGCTTTATCAACTAAGTTTATGTAATATACCAAATCCTTTGTTGTCACTTCTACAATCCTCACAGCATCTTTTTTTTTTTAAGATTTTATTTATTTGACAGAAAGAGAGTGCACAAGCCAGGGGAGCAGCAGGCAGAGCGAGAAGCAGGCTCCCCGCTGAGCAAGGAGCCCGATGCAGCACTCGATCCCAGGACCCTGGGATCATGACCTGAGCCGAGGACAGACGCTTAACCGACTGAGCCACCCAGGCGTCCTGGATCCTCACAGCATCTTCACCAGTAGATTCCATCAAGAAACCACTTTCTTGGCTCATCCATAAGAAGCAACTCCTCATTCACTAACATTTTATACGACTGCAGCAATTCAAATATAATAATAAATTGTGAGAATTATCAAAATGTGACAATCATGAAGTGATAAGTGGTGCTGAAAGACTTCTTCGACACAGGGTTGCCACAAACCTTCAATTTGTAAAAAGCGCAATGTCTGGGAGGTACAATAAAGCAATGCGCAGTAAGGAAGTATGCCTGTGTTGATTTCATAATATACCTTTAAGATTTTATTTATTTTAGAGAGAGAAAGCGCGAGAACACGTGAGCAGGGGGAGGAGTAGAGGGAGAGAGAGAATCCCAAGCAGACTCCGCACTGAGCAGAGAGTCTGAAGCAGGGCTCAATCTCACAACCTTAAGATCATGACATGAGCCAAAATCAAGAGTTGGACATTCAACCAACCAAGCCACCCAGGCGCCCCTTTCATAATATGCTATTAAGCCAGCCCAGGACAGAGTACTAGAGAAAGGAAAGAATGAAGCCTTTACTTTATACTTTCTACATCTTCCACCCACCCCGTAAGTGTTTATGTCTATAAATTTTTTTAATTAATTTTCTTATCAAGCAAGATTATTAATTTTCTTAATTGTGTTTACCAACATTTTCTTATTTTTCTACAATGTGTATATATTACTCATATACTTTTTTTAAAAAAACAAAATTTAATTGCAAATAGGACAACTCTGGCTTTCTGCATTCCCCACTTTGGGGCTTAAGCACAAGAGCAGGATCAAGACATCAGACAACCAGCACAAGAAACATCCGCACTATTAAAAAAAAAAAAAAAAAATCATCTCATGCATGAGTTTCTTTTTTGGTACTACCAGGTCACACACACATTCTATCCTTTATTCCCTGAAAACCCCAGAGGCCCTGAGCCCAAAGGCTAGAAAAGGCCTCACCATTTGGCAGCAGCTCTTTAAGCAGACACAGGAATGTTGTTTGGTGCAGAATAGTCAAGTACAGGGGTGCCTGGGTGGCTCAGTCAGTTAAGCATCTGTCTTTGGCTCAGGTCAGGATCTCAGGGTCCTGGAATCAAGCCCCATGTCAGGTTCCCTGCTCAGCAGGGAGTCTGATTCTCCCTCTCCCTCTGCCCCACTCGTGCTCTCTCTCTCTAATAAATAAATAAAACCTTAAAAAAAAAAAAGAGTCAAGTACAGTTCTCCGCAAGACTTGGGTGTCTCCAAGAACTACTGACTATACCAGAACGGAGTCATTTCTTGACTCACCTTCATAGTGTTCCCAGGTTACCTCCTCCCCCAGTTTCCATCCTGATCCTACCTGAAGGACAGCATTGGCATAGTCGTTGGCCTTTATGTTATTCAGGCCCACGATGCCTGGCAGGTAAGTGGTACCATCATATGCCCGGGACAATTTGGCTTGCTTGTCCAAGTTTGCAATCTGCTGCTTTGTGAAAGTGGGCTTCAACACATACTGCAAAGCAAAAGAAAATTCCAAGTTGTAGGGCTGTCTACAGAGTTCATAAGATATATCTGAAATAGCAATTTCTCCCCAAAAACAAAAAACACTTTGGTCATGAATGTCTCACCACACACCTAAAGGGCTCCCAACAATAGGTATAAAGGCTGAGGTAACAGAGAATAGGCCCTCACCACATTACTAATACAGAAGGGCATCTCTGTGTTTAACCCAAAATCACTGAATCTAGGTCTTTCCTCAGACCTCAGGTCTGGCCAACTCCATGACAAAGGACTGTCAGAAACTGGAGGACACTCAGGTCTCTGCAGGCAGCAGGAGTCTGAGTCTCAGGGGGGAACTAACAGAGTCAGCACAGACCAGCACAGGTGCGGGAACGTCTCCCCGCCTCTGCAAACCTGAGATCTCATGAACTCCCTGTGGCTGGAGGGGCAGGAACCCAGTCCTAGAGCTACGGGGGTCATCACATAAAGGGCTGAACAGAGGTCTCTATTAACTCACTTTGAAACCTTGCATTTATTTCAGTTTCTCTCTCTCCAAATACTGTAACTACTTTAACCTCAACTATTAATAGGTCTATAAAACTTATAAAAGTAACAATGTTTCAAACACTCTAAACACCAAGCTTTCCTTAAAAATGAACAGAGCATTCAGCATGAATATATAGACACTTGCTAAAAAGGAAAAGTAGTAACAGTTCCAACATTAATCACACCCAAGACTTTTAATGCTCTCCACTTAAGTACAGTGACTCTTGGCACAGATCACACACCAGAGACCGCAGATGGGATGCACTGGCCATTCTGGCCGCGTCATATCAAACTAGCCAGAAGCTGGTATGCAGCTTGGTATCCACTGTCCTACACCAGGCCCAATTCGTATCCCTACTCCAAAGTGTGAAAGGGAATATATTTCACAAAAATGCTTTCACCCCAATTAGAAGGTAGCCATATTCCTTTAATCCTCTCACATTAAAAGCAGAAATAACAGCTAGGCTGCAGACCACAGACCACAATAATGAATCCTGGCCTTCTTACTCACATCTCCCTGGTTCCTCCAAAAGGAAAAGAAGCCTCTACAAGCCTAAAGGACTGAAATTCTTCCCTAACCTCGTGTGAGGCAGATCCCCAGGAGCCCTGGGATGGCTCCCAAGAAAACTAGTTCCAAACCAGCCCTTCCTGGACATACTGTGATGTCCTCCAGCGAGGAATCGATGATCTCATAGTTGTCTGGAAGGCAGTAGAACTTGAGGGTGTGGAGGTTGAGGAAGACATGGTGGCTAAACTGGACGCTGTGAATGTAGGCATGAGACTTCAAACCCCGGCCTGGAGGGAAGGATGAAAGGCTGTAAGTGTAGGGCAGATGCCAGAGAGGAACAAATCAAATTGGATTTTCCTTTCATAATTTTGTCCTGGAACATGTTAATATCAGCAAAAACAAAGTATTATGCCATCCGTGCAATGAATCTCTTACATGAACTCTTCTCATCAAAAAATTAGCAAGGAAGAATAGCGCATTAGTGCTTTATTCCCTGGCTGACGTAAGACATTGTTAGGGAAACTAATTTCATACACACAAATATGAAATTTGTGTGTGCGTGCAGCTGTGTATAAGTTAGTTCCATATTACCTAAAATTAAGATTATCTGTGCATGTATCATATATAACAAATGCACAGACATGCACAGATACGTACATATACACATATGAACATCCTATGACAGTCCACCACCATTCAGTCCTGAATTTCCAAACCCCCATGTTCAGGACAATCCTGCACCTACGTACCTTTGTTCACGTTGCCACTCCTTTTTAGAATCTCTCTCCCTTAACCCACTCAAACCCCCTATGTCCTGCCAGTTCAAGTCCTACCTTGACCTCCTCTGCGAATTAAACATAAACACTCCAGCTAACACTGATCTTTGCCTATTTCAATTCCCATAGTCCTTATTCATACTCAGTGCCAAACAGTCCAGCAGTAATCCTTATGATCTTATAGTTTGCTGATCGTTTTATGTGTTAACCTTGACTATTTATGAGCTCTTTATAAGTGCAAGGAACGTAGTTTACATTTCTTTTGAATCCTCCAGTATACTGTATACATAGCATTTCCTTGGTCTGAATGAATTGAAATAATAAATTTCCAGAAAAAAACAGAATGAAAAAGCACTCAGAGCAAAAGGATTTTCAAAAAAAAGACATGACTACAGAAAACATCAGAGATTCAGAAACTCACAGCCTTTGAGTTCTCCTACACAGCCTCAACTAGTTCCTTCTCCCTTTCATATGTATATAGGTTCCGACTGGAGAATCTCCTATTGATTTCCTAAGACTATCCCAATTTCCTGAGAACAAAGATAGGGATTCTCAGATATGACTCCTGACAGCAGCTTACTTTCTTTAAAAGAAAAAAAAAAAACCTCTCTGGAGCAGACCGGTAGCTGGCACTGAAAACTTAGCAAGTTTATAATACACAACATTACTTACCCTGGAAGTACTTGCCACACACGAGACAGGCATATGCATTGATATGTGAGAGGGAGATGGAACACAGTTTCTCAAAGTCAAAGTCCAGCACACTCCTAAAAGAACCATACAAAAGAAAAAACAATTAATAGGGAGAGATGCCTAGGAAAGCACCCAAGTGAAGCAGCATTGGCTCCACATTCCACAACGTCACATAGCATCCTTCAGAGATGGTTCAACGACCATACATAAACTGTGGGGAACATTAACTATTCCTCCCTAAACATTTAATATAGCACCCCTACCCACCAAGCCCCAAAGCAGTGCCAAGGTATCTCTACTAGACACACAAAGCAATGACCCTCTTTTTAAAATTTACAACCAGTAGAGAACCTTCCACTGCAGTTGCTTTCTCTGGAGGAAATGCTGAATGTAGGACTAATGTAACAGGGCCCCAATGGCATTCCAAATTAAAAGACTGGGGATGGGGGCACCTGGTCGGCTCAGTCGGTTAAGTGCCCAACTCTTGATTTTGGCTCAGGTCATGATCTCAGGGTTGTGAGATCTAACCCCAAGTCAGGCTCTGTGCTGGGTATGGAGCCTGCTCAAGATTCTCTCTCTCCCTCTGCCCACCCGCTCTCTAGGGGAAAAAAAAAAAAAAAAAGACAGGTAGTGGAAGGACATCAAAAGAGTGAACAAACCCTTATATAAGAGAAACCCTTATATAAGAAAATCTATTTTTGTCCATAAAGATAAATGGAAAGCCTGAATATTAGGAGAATACCTACAAATAGATCTACTTATTCAACTGCAAAGTAATGTTATATGAGTAGTGAACAGGTTAAGGGACAAAAAAACTTTACTTCCATTGAATCCACAAGTGACAAAGAGATTTCTCCTCAAATATTAACTCTAATTAATTGGTAATGATCCCAGTAAAGCTGCAATGTCTATTAAAGGAGGCAATAGCTACAAGTGGATATTTACATTTAAATTTAAAATCATTAAAATTTGAAACTGGGTTCCTCAAGCCATGTTTCAAGTCCTCTCTAGCCATAAATGGCTTGTACCTGTCACAATGGATAGCCCTTGTAAAGAGTAATTCCATTACTGAGAGAAGTTCTGTATCTAATCTATATATTAGACAGCACTATCTTAGAGCATAAGTTGAAAAGCATCCTAAGATGCCAACTGGGATCAGAGAAAAGAAACAAGGACAAGGTAACTACTTCTGCTTTAGGACATATTTTTATCTGTTTTTCCTTTCTCTGATGAATTCCGGCCACCTAAAGTAGTACCTAGCACATAGCAAGTGCTCAAAAGGTATTTAAATTTGCTACTGTCATTTTAAGAACACCATGTACCCTGTTATTCCACCAAACAAATTCAAGATAAACTAAAAGCTCTTTATGCATGTTCCCACCCTAAAAAAAACACTCCGACACTTTATATTAAAAGACAAAGATTAATAAATATGGCAAGAAGCACAACTTTCTGGGCAGAAAGCTTTAAAAGGGATAAAGTTTGTGAACGTGTTATTCTATGTACAGCTCAAAGAATTTTCTGCATAGATTCCATTGTTTTTTGCTGCCCTCGGCATCCCTGTTCTACTAACCTGTTAATGGTATCCAGGTATGGGCAATGGCGGCTCCTCCGGTCCTCGGAATCCACGCGGCCATTCTTTGCTAAAAGGAAAATCATCACAGACTGGGAAAATGGGAAAACTGTACTCAGGGTCAATTACTAGTACAAACAAAAAAAATGAGAAAAACCCAACAGGATGAGCTCCTACACTGGTGGCCCAGCAATACATCAAAAAGCCCACTAATGGAAAAAGCACCAAACTGGGAGAATAGATTTGAAACACATATAACCAACAAATGATTCATTTGCAGATTACATAGAGAAATCTGGTGAAGCGGTAAGAAAAAGACAAACAACCCAACAGAAAATGAGGAATATAACCCTCATCAACAATCAAGAAAATGCCAATTTCCTTGTACGATATACCCACTTCACACCTACCAGAGAGGAAAAAATAAAACCAGAAAATTCCAGGTGTTGGCAAATACAGAGAGCAATGGAAATGCTCATGTACTGCTGGTGGGAGTGTAAACTGTTACAACTTCCTGGAAAATAGTACAGCAAGATCAAAGCTGAAAATATGCAGACCTTTGACCCAGCAATCTCTACTTATAAACCAGAGAGAAATTTTTGCACATGTACCCTGGGAGTACTTTACTAAAAACATTTATAGCAGCGATATTTAAAAGGGCCCAAACTGGAAACGAACCAAATATCCACCACAAATAAAATGGATAAACATATTCTGGTATATCATCAATAGAACACTATATAGCCATAAACATCTATTTGGATGAACCTCAAAAATATGCCTAGCAAAAAAAAACAAAAAGGAAAATCAGAAGACCACATATAGTATGATTCCATTTGTATCAAACACAAAGTAAAACACAGTACTACTTAGGGATACATATAGGAGGTAAAACTAAAAATAAAAATAGACATGATTAGAAAAATTTCAGAGTAATGAATTCTTAAGCAAGGAAGGCAGGCAGATACAACTGGGAAGGGGCCTATGGGAGCTTCTAAGGTACTGGTTATGTGCCACTTCTAACTCTGAATAGCATTAGGAGACAATTCTCCATGGGTCTCTCATGTTTCTGCCCACACTGTGACCAGAGGCACTGTCCGCCTCCAGACTACCTTGTCAAGGATACTTGTATAGTAAACGCATTGGGGGGGGGGGCGGTCTGTGGTCTCCCTACAGTGCAAAGGGGAGTCAAGTTCACAGACCATTATAAAAGATTCACCTTCTGTAAGCCCAGAGTTCCTTTCCTGGAAGGCCACCCACTATAAATATAAGTTCTTTTCAAACTGCACTGTGGGAATGACACGACAGGAACTTGTCCCGTCTTCATTTACATCCAGAAAACTGTGGCAGGCTAACTAGGTAATTTGCAAATAAAATCTCAAACCCTTCACAGTTCTTGACAAGTAAATTTAAGGATGTATATTTTCACTCTTCTTTAAACTATACCTGTACATTATATTCAGTCCATCTTAGTACCTGTGATCTATTTCATCATAAAAGTGAAAGGGAAAAAACAAACAAAAAAAGACAAGCCAGAAGAGCAAGTGGGATCCTAGTGTGTCTCAGAGAAAACAATCTCCTTATCACAGTTATGCAAGATAGCTAAGAAACAACTTCTCTTCCAAAGAAGGGGAAACCTGAAGCTTACAAGGTACTTAAGAAAAATCAAAGAATACCCTGAAATTATTAATTATTCAAAGAATATTTATCAAACATTTTCTATGGGCAAGGTGCTATTCTGGACTCTGTGTAATACAAAAATATGTCAAACAGAGGACTCTAAGCAAGAAGTTTAAGATTTAATATTAAAGTATAATCATACACAGATAACCAGGGCCAGAAAGCAAAATTATAAAGCCTTAGAGAACTAGTACTGTCCTCACTACAATGCAGTCAACTCTGGTCGCGGACACTAGGAGTGTGAATCCCCTAACCCCACGCCCACGTCCATCCCCAGGGAAAGCTGGAAAGAGAAAAAGGAGAACGTTGAGAATGGAGCCCGCGCCTGGCACGGCCCGGCCCAGCCCAGCCCCGCGCACCTCGCACCTCCCGCTCAGGCTCAGAGTCCTCGTCGGCCTCGCGCTCCCGCTTCACCCGCACAGCCGGGACCGCGAGCGTCGGGGCCTCCCGCGCGCTCACCGGCTCGACCTCCCGCTTCACACGCACGGGGCTGCCTCGGGAGCTCGGCGCCTCGGCTTCCCGCTCCCGATCTCGCTCCCGCTTGACGCGACCCGAGCTGCCCCGCGACTCGGACTCGCGCTTCCCGCGGGTAGAACCACGAGATTCACGCTTGGACCGACCAGACATCGCCACTACCGGCCGAGTCGTTCTGCGCAGGCTCCAGGCACGCTGGAGCGCGCGGCAGGTAGCCAATCAGGAGCCGTGCTATTATGCCCCCCCCCCCCCCCCCTCGGCTCTCTACGAGTCGCCGTCGAGGACACGTCATGCCGCGAGAAACTTCTGGGAAGAACTGCGCCTCCAGTGGCCTCTTAGCTTCTGCGTGCGCCCCTGAGAAAAGCCTGCGGGCCTACTGCCACCTTACCCATAATTTTCTGGATTAAAAAAGGTTGTCATTGGGCCCCGGATTTCTTCGAGTTACTTTGTGCCCGGGAACCAGAATCGGGAGGTCGTCTCCACAGTCGCTGCGCACCAGAGAACTTGGCGACATCCCCAAACCATCCCCTTCATGCAGCAACCTGGCTACTCTAATTCCGCGTTTAGAGGCTTGTTCTAGGTCTCACAGGAAAATACAAACGTCAGGCAGAGAGACAACCTTGACCCTAATAGGGTTCAAACTTCAGGGCCTGTGACCCTCACGATCTTGTACAGTTCTACCGAGATGAAATTGACATGCAATCAAATGCATGTTTATTTAAAGTGTGCAATTTGCTAAATACTGATGGATGGGTGTATACACTCTGAACCCATCACCACGATCTAGATAAGGAACCTACCCACCAGCCTCAAGATTGTCCTTCTCCAAACATCTGCTTTCTGTCACTACAGAGCAGTTTTATATAAATGGAAGCCCACAGCGTGTCCTCTTTTTTGCCTGGTCCCTTTGGCTAGGAGAATTTATTTTGAGATTCATCCACGTGGTTGCGTGTATCAACAACTTGCTCCTTTTGATTGCCCGGCAGTATTCCATCGTGTGGATGTACCAGTATGTCGCTGTACTAATCACAAATTTCTAATTTTGTCATTTTTTAGAGGACTCCAAAACTACACACTCAGATCCTGAAAAGCGCTGGGTCCTTCCGCGAGGGCAGTTAAGATACGGGTCGGGTGGGCTCGGGCGCTGGGCGGGCTGGAAGGGGCGCCCCCGCCGCCGGCAGCCTCCGCGGGGCTGTGCGGCCAGGATGCCGCTGTGTGCCTTGACTGAGCATTCGCCTCCTCACAACCTCTTTTGAGGTAGATGCGCTCAATGTCCTCGTTTACAAATGAGAACACTGAGGCTCCGCGGGGTTCTATAGTCAGCCGAGGTCACGCAACCGGTGATGGGAGTTTCACAGCATTTTATCACCACAAAAAGGAAAGGAAGACTCCACACCGATCGCTGAGTGGTATGATGGGTGCTTTGTGTTTTTCTGAATTTTCTGATGTATCAGCAGTAAGCCTAAGTCCTGTTTCCTATTGCTAATGTCACAAAGAAAAGCTCCGACGGGGAGTAGAAGCCGCGCATGCCCCATCCCAGCACCCGCGCCGGGAACTCCGCGCGCCGCGACGCTCGGCCCGACAGGCTCTTTCCGGGCGGGACGTCAGGGCGCGGGGCCGGAAGTCAGGCGAGGGGCGGTGCGGAACTCGCCGGACGGGAGGGTGGCCGTTAGGGCCGTTGAGTTGGTGGCGGCTCCCAGTACAAGGCTCCAGATGGAAGCGGCACCAGATCCCGGGCCGGGGCTCTGCTGCAAGCCTGGCGGGCGGCTGGACATGAGCCACGGCTTTGTGCACCACATCCGACGGAACCAGCTCGCCCGGTACCGCCCCGCCCCGCCGCCGCCCCCAGCCTAGCTTGGCCCGGCGGTCCCTGACTCCCGCTCGGCTCCCCGCAGGGACGACTATGACAAGAAGGTGAAGCAGGCGGCCAAGGAGAAGGCGAGGAGGCGGCACACGCCCGCGCCGACGCGGCCCCGCAAGCCCGACCTGCAGGTGTACCTGCCGCGACGCCGAGGTGAGGCCGCCCACCCCGCCTGCCTCCTCCAGCCCGCGCGCTCTTTCGGCCCCCAGTCCTCTGTCTCTACACATTCTTTTCTCTACGTGGAAGAAGAAAACCACTTCTTAACCCCCAGGGCTCAGTTCATGTCGTCCCTCCCCGGACGCTCTCCATTCGCTCACTGATTCTCCCTAAGAACAGAGAAGGCTCGTGGCCCCCAGTTAAGTATCACTATTAACGGGAAGTTCCTGGGAGCTAGCAAGTAGTTGTTTGTCTGCTGGTTTGCCCACCATGCTATGCTTTAGGGTTCTCACTATCTGACAGAGCTTGGCACAGCTATAATTGAGTAGGACGTAGGTGTGGAATGAAACTCAAACTCACTACGAAAAATGGCCTTTTCTCCAGCTTCCCAGGGACCTAGAGATCACAATAGCTAGCACGGCACTAAATTTGTTTAGCGTTACTTAAAAGTGTTTTACAGATCTTGGGTACGTTAACTCATTTAATTTTCACTGGATCCCATAAGATGGAAACTACTGTCATTTCTGTTTCACAGGAAACAGGCACAGAGAGATTAACTTGCCCAAGGTCCCATAGCTAATAAATGGCAGAGCCTGCATTTGAACCCAGGTAGGACTCTGGCCACCTCTCGACTACCTTCCAAACTTATTCACTAGATGAAGGTGCATTGTGTATCTACTATGTGATACGATTGTGCTGGCCCCAGAGCAGGGATACAAAGGTAAATGAAACTATTGATCGGCCGTGCACTTAACACATAACACCCGTGCACAGAGTCCATAAGAAGATCAGGGCTTTCTTTACGGTATGTTTTCATGTGTCATCCGTATGGGCAGGGGCTCCAGCAGCCTTCCCCTCTTCCCTCTCACTGTGATTCATCCTTCCAGATGGCTCTACCCACCCAAGCAACCCAGACTGTGAGGAGTCCGGTGAAAGCAGCAGTAGTGGCAGCTCCGAGCCAGAACCTTCTGGCCATCAGCTCTTCTGTTTAGAATATGAGGCAGACAGCGGAGAGGTCACCTCAGTTATCGTGTATCAGGTATGCCTCATGGAAACAGCTGCAGCCTGAAGGTCCTTGGCCGTGCTAGAAATCACTGCCAGAGCCTGAGCCACTGTTTTCCTCAGGGCCAGTGGGAAGTGTCGGCTCCACATAGGAGCATAGACTGCTGGGCGATGCTTTTGAGCACAACTCACGCCTGTCACACAGTGATTCTCAGCAGGCACTTGGGAGGGCATGTGGCCCCCAGCTGAAAATCACTATTACAGGGGACACCTGGGAAATGACAGGCACTGGCAAGAAGCCAAGAGTCAAATGGAGTTCTGTGAGAGTGTTGTCTAGGGACAGGGCAGGTGGCCTTTCCAGAAGAGGCCAGGCCCTGAGCTTCCTGACTCTTCCTCCACGTAGGACGATGATCCAGCAAGGGTGAGTGAGGAGGTGTCAGCACACACGCCTCTGGATCCACCCATGCGAGAGGCCCTCAAGTTGCGCATCCAGGAGGAGATTGCAAAGCGCCAGAGGCGACACTGACCAGGCTGAAGGCATTCTCACCAGGCTGGATTCACTGCCCAGGGAGCTCACTCCTAGTTTGGGGGTGCCAGGACCAGTCTGAGCTGATCTTGAGAGTGACACACACACAAACACACACACCCCCAAGCTCAACATCCATAGGAACAGAGTGTTGCAGGGACAAGCCTGCTTTGCAGGCCATTCTTTCTTGTATGTTGGCCCATTTGACCAGCTTAGTATTCTGGAATTTGAGAATTTTGTTTGGCTAACTTGGTGTTCTAGAAGCATAGATTCCAGGGAGAGCTGAGCTTTATGAAACCTTTTGCCAACATGCTGCTTTCTTACTAAGGTCATATGCCGTGGGACACCTAACCACTGCTGCTCCACCCAGCTCAGTGAACCCTATTTGTTGTTTTACAGTTCATTTGTTCCTTGCTTCTGCTCACTTCCATCCATGTTTTCCTAGACCTTTTTTTCAGCCGTTTCTTTGTTCTTTCCATTCTCTCATCTTTGTCTCAGAATCCATCAGTTCCACCGTACCTCCCAATGTGACTGTGCACCTCCCAACTGCTCAGGACTTTGGAGGTGGGGAGTCCTGGGGGTTCTACCTTTCTGACAAGCTCTTCCGGTAATTCTCATACCAATAAAGTGGGAGATCTTCATTTTTGAGACTGACTTGCAAGCATGTCTCCCTCCCATTCCATGGCTTTTGCAAGTTTCTCTCATACCGCACTGCTTTGCACTGTCTAGATAAAGAGACGTAGGAAGATGATGCCAGAACTCAACTGCAAGGATTTCTTGCAGCAGAGCCTGCCTTGGTTAGGGCTATAGGATTCCAGTTTTCCACCTCATCCCTAGCTGTAAACAGACCATCCCCTGCTCAGGCTAAAGGGGAATTACCAAAACAAGCTTGAAACTGACTCTCCAAATGTGATCTAACAGTCTTGAACGTATGTACAAAGGGAAATTCAACATGAGCAATAATTGCCTATTTGGAGCCCTAGTTGCAAAAAAAAAAAAAAAAGGCCTGTACAATGGGCGGCAAAATGAGTCTCTCTCATCTGCCCTGCCCCTGCCCCATTCTTTCTCCTTTCCTATCTCCCAAGAGTATATAAACTGAGATCCTTAGAATAAAAGATCCTAGGAATATCACTGTTTTCACCTCAGTGAACATTTTCCCTAATGCAGGGTTAGGCTAAGGTCTGAGAAGTCCACAAGACATCCTATGCACTGCAGTTCCAAGCCACTCAGATTTCCAGCAATTGACCTAACCTCAGTGACTTGAAGTACGGGATTTAAGTGAGCCCATGAACACTAAGACTTCTTGAAACCAAAGTCCCCCTGCCTCAGGGGTTTTCTCTACATCAGGGTCTCAAGATCAGTCTGGCTATTCCATCTCAGCGGCTTTTCTCTTAAAGGACACCTGAGGGCACTGTTGGTTTGTGCCCTACACCCCTGAAAATCTACCACCTCAGAAATGGGGCAAGGCAGCTACTTAAACTACATCAGTAGAACCCAGTGAGCCACAGCTTGCAGTGCCCAGAGGAATTCTGGCAAAGTGAGTGAGGTAGATAAGTTAGACGGGCCTGGTTGTGAAAGGAGCCAGGGACCGGAGTGTTCCTGGCCCACAGAGCTGGCCCAAGGTTAAAT